AAGGATCCACGCAGGGCAAGAGAGGAGTTCAACGAAGTCCAACTTCGATCTCTCAAGCACATTGATCCTGATACCAACTTTCCTGAAGATGAATTTTACTATGTCGGTAAGGATCCGAAGGCGCCCACCATGCAGGAATTCCTCCGAGAGCAACATCCATCCGGCTATCCTATCAGATTGCCGATTAGTATAAAATCTCTCAGGGCCAATGACGACGTGGAAGTCATCAAGGCGCACACGGATATCCTGCGATCCTTGACGCAGTCCATGCAGAAACCCGCGGGTGAATCATCCGATCCAGAGGGTTTCCATTCGACAAGAACGGTGAATGTGCTCACCATGAATCATGGAAACAACACCAAGGATCCGAAGCTGAACGGAAGGGAACTGAGAAACTGGCCCATGAAGGACAGACCTGTCATTGGAATGATAATGACATCCAACGCACACATCCTCTGCCTCAACGAGATTGACGTGCTGCTGTATCCGAACGATCCGAAGACCAAGGAGCTCATCAAGTTGCTCATCCATAATGGATTCAAAGGGATCGTAATCAAATCTTGGACAGCCAAAGCTATCGGATGTTTCGTGCGAGGAGGCCAGCATGCAAGAGTTGAGCTATTGGCTCGATATATCTCATCCCGATCCAACAACTGGGGAACGACGTTCGGCATGTTCCGATGCTTCTATGGTTTGGAGGGCGCACAATCCGATCCATCCTATGACGATCCGACCTCAGATTGTTTGGCAACAACAGGACCCGACATGTTCGAACAAGAACCAGGAAAGTACATTGGAAAAAGGCTTCCACCTCGAACCGATGTCAAGGGATGCGGAAAGAACAAGGAGATCATCGTCATCCAAATTGAAGAGAACAATGAACTTCGTGGCGCAGTGCCGAAATCCGTGAGCTATCCGCCAACATACTACGATTCACGGCATGTCACCCGAGCAGGACTTCCATACACCACCGTTGGAGTTTTCCACGTCCATCCGAGCATGAGCCACGGTGCAGTGAGAGAGGATTTTCAGGAACACGTCATGCCACTCGCAGCCGAGTATGCAGCGGACATCCTAACCGGCGATGCCAACAAGTCTGCAAACACGTTCTCCAAGTACCAAACGGTTTATCTTCCTGACAATAGCTTGATGCACAACATCATGCAGAAGTTCAAGGAGGTCTGGAATGAACCATCCGATCTTCCGTTGCGAGAACGATTGGAAGTGTCCTCAGAATCATCCAGCACCCTGAAATCCATCGTGAGACATCATCTCTACACGAAGACAGGATCTGGGTACGATAAGACATTTCCGGACTGCATGGTGACATTCATTCTTCACTGGGGCAGGACCCTTGAACAGGATCAATACCGTGAAGATGAAGAACAAAAATTGTCATCTCAGAAGATCCAAGAGATGAAGGACGACCGATCACTTGTGATTCCGGACTATCAGGTCATGTCCTCCGAAAAGTTCAAGCACATCAACAACGAAATGCTCATGAACGGCAGCAATGACCAAGACTCACACAGTCCGTTGATGGTGCGCATCAAGAGCCGATCCGAATGCAAGAAGCGTGATACGGCCAAACTCAAGGAGTACCATCAGAAGAAGAAGGAGAGCGCATCCTCATCCTCCAATCCATCCAAGAAGTACAACAAGGCACGAACCGATGAAGGATGGGAAGATTGGGGAGAGCGAGATTGGTCAGAAGGCTGGGATTATGGCAGCTATTCCGAAGGAGGATACTACAAATGGAAGAAGCACTGATTCAACCCCTCGCGGGAAGATGATTGATCATTCATGATCTCAATTTGCAATCAGTCATGATACCAACCTCGAAGGAGCTAACACCGAAAACTCAAAATCGATCCGACGATGATTGGTCCTCATCCTCTACACGGATATACCACGAGTGACTGATAGTTTCACATACGTCCTGCACGTGTACATAGTTTTGCGCCACATACTTTTGATGCAACTAGGCATCCAACTTTCATTTCTTCACATTTCAAAAAGACGCTCTGCACAGTACAGTACATCCTATCGGAAGGAAAACAGGATGAATACATTTTCTCATTTCAAGGCTACGGAATTTTACGCCCAATTAATGATGTCCGGGATCAAAAGAAATTTGTGTCTGTTTTGTTTCTGATTTGTACATAGATTGATCCCTTGACAATCATTCATGAACATAGCACTCCGCCATGTTTGGGCTCAAGGCCCTTCATTTGTCCGACATTCATTTGTCACTGTACAATAGAAGACTTGCAGATCTACCTTCAGAGTACATCCGAGTACAAAAGGCATCCGACTGAGCTCATCCGCAGATATAGAAACCAGGGACCTAGTATACACATCCAAGCACCGGTTCCTTTCATAGGATAAGGTGCCCTTGGGGTGCGATACACCCCCCCCCCAAAAAAACACAAAATGTGGTTTTCCAAAACTCGGGAAAAGAGACACCCATTTGGGCCGTGCGAATCGCGCCGTCCGATTCGCCGATGGGCGAATTGAGGCCTGGTGGCGCTGCCTCAGGCGCCGCTTTCTTTGGAGGCGGGCCAACCAAAACGGCGATCGGCACCCCTAGCAATTGGTGGGCTGGTACCCATGTGGGTGTGTCTTTTTTAACGGGACCCCCAAAATGGCGCAACGGTTTTCCTCTTGGCTGCCGGTTTCCCCTTTGTAGGTGGGATGTTGCGAAGTGGAAGACGTACTGGGGATGACGAATGCTGAGAATGCTCCAATCCTGGATGGACAAAGTCCTGCACTTGGGATGGATGAACCCCGAGACAAAAAGCTGTTGATAAACCACCAATCCCGAGACAAAAAGCTGTTGAGTAGGCGGAAAGAAGGGGTGAAACACAAAGGGGATGTGGCTGGTAAAACGTTGCCCGAATGGATGGTGAACACTGGCTGTCAAAAATAGAAACCTCCCCAGAACATGTTCGGTGTTATGTTGGTGTGCTTTGCACAAAAGCGCACTCCCAATCATTTCAAGTCGGTTACATGCCTTATTTGGATGGGATGCTGGATGGGAGGACTCGCTGAATGGGGGATGTGATGGTTGCACTGGGCCTATCATTTCGCGTCATTTGGGGCTAAAGACGGACCATCGCGACTTGCCAACCCTGGAAAGATATCAAGATGAAGAAGGTTGAATCGACCGCCTTGCACCTCTCACAATTTGTTCGGTCGCTTTAAAAGGCCCCCAAGGCTCAAGGCTGAGCAGGTCTTTTCGGTCAAACCACCGGAGGCCTCGCCGGCAGGCCGAGTCGGGTGGCTGGGCTTCGGGAGATGGGGCGACAAGACCGATTGAAGCTTGGGTTTTGCTTGGGGAGGCTAGGGAACCCAACCTTGGAGCCTTTTCCTTAGGCTACATGAGAAACAGGCCATAGTCACGGCCGTTTGCTGCTGTAAAGAGGATAATTATTGTTTTGGGAGTATAGGCTCGCTAAATGGCACATATGGTGGTTGCTCACCTTATCGTGGTTTAAAAGGCTGACCCTCAATTGGCGCTTGGCGATTATGTTGCCGATTTCAGCGGTTTTGAGTGGCCCCGGTTGCAAGTGGGCCGAACCGCACCCGAACAATTGGCTTTTCAGTTTGACTTTTCTGGCTGAAGGGTGGCAATCCCGTTCCAATCATCTTGGCAGGTACATCCACAAATGCATGTCTCGAGTTTCGTAGGGGCTGGCCCGCTTTATATCTTGTTGAGAGGGATGATGAACGTTGGGAATATATTTTTTCAGGTTGCTTGTAGGGAGTCAACAATTGCATGTGGCAGAGTTTGATGTTGAGATTTGAGGTGTGGGAAGGTGGCTGACGGCTTATTTCATTTTGCGACATCGCCATTGTGAGGCTTGGGTTACGTGAGGCAAGTCTAGGCTAAGTCTGTTTCAACCTTAATATTTAATAAACACACATCTATTTTCTGTCTTGACTTTGAAAGCCACAGAAACAACTTTGTTCAGCCGTTTGCTGTTTGCGCAAAGCTGCCGCCAGGGGCTTCGCGAGTCCAGGCGGATGGGCAGTCACTGTATCATTTCCCCCCATTTGTCAGAAGCCACCCGGGTTTTCCGTTGTTTCGCATTGAGTTGGGCATGGTGGAGAATCCTTTATCACAGAAAATAGGCGACGGCCAAATGATGGATTTTCCATGGGCGTGCTTGTAAATCCTCCACTTGCCTATGGACCAACTTGTGACACATCACAGTTTATTGGTGCTTGAAAGCATTTGCGCAAGTTCTGGACTGTGGTCAGATTACATGCCAAATGTATAGTGTATGGACTTAACATATATTGCCTGGGTCCGTCAATCGCGAGTTGTCGCTTTACTCCAAGGACCCTGCCACCTTTGAATCCCTCAAAGGAACATGGTTTCACACATGAACAATTGGCAATACCACTGGTAGTCTACTGTTGCTTTGGGGAGGACGTGGGTGGCCCCCACAAAACAAGCGGGGTCCCATCCAATTTTCCATGTCACTCCATCAACTCAAGGCTTCCTTTCCACTGCTGGTGCCCGTGCGCTTTAGGCCAGCCCCTTGCTGAAGACGCTGGAACTGGCCGGGGCCCCACCGAACTTGTCAGTCTGGCATGTTGCGGGGGTTTGGCTTTGAATGAATGGACATGTAAGGAATGGGCGAATCTGCATGGAACCAATGGGCTTTCCTTTTAAGCCAACAAAAAAACAACGTTTATCTTTTGTTTGCCATTCAAAGGGAGCCATCTCATGGGTTGAAGCCCATGCGCTGGACTCCCTGAAAGCGATTGCGCTTTGATGGTGGCTGTTCTTAGTGCTGGCACTGTTTGTCTACTGAGACCAAATGGGGTTGGTCCAGCCAGGAGGTATTCTTGAAGCAAGGGCCCAAACAAATTGTGTTTTTCCTGCATGTTTCTCTTCAAACATTAACCACAACAAGGTTCGACATTTTGAGACACATTCCCCCGCATTGCCACCACTCCATGTTGAACACCTGCCTTCGAAGCCTGGCTCAAGCCATGCGACTGTAGCTTGCAAACTCCATCGGCCTGAAGGCCTCTTGCACAGGCCGGAGGGTCGGGATGATAAAAAGGGTGTCCCTTTTCGGGATGTGCAAGAGGGCCGCGAGGCCGCGAGACGACACGCAAAAAACACGTGCCTCTTATTTACCTATTTTACCTCCCATGTTTTTCCATGGAACCCCAAGGGAAGTCCCCAGCCCCCAAAAAAGATGCGTTGCTTTTCTTGTTTTCCGGTCGGAATATGTTCATCGGGCGGACTTGCTCACCTTCAGGATTCAGGGCTTGGAGGATCCAGATCTGGCGGATTGGGGGGCTTGTGGCTGTTTGGGGGGAACCCCTTGGTTGGATTAAAGGGAAACCAAAGGGAAGACCATAGTTGAACCATGTTTGGAAATACAAGAACAAAAGACACAGCCAAATATCAATCGAGCCAAGTCTGAAAAGCTGTCGGCCAGGAAATGGGCCGAACGAGCCTTGGCCAAGAGTTGGGCGGCGCCAAAAAACCGTGGTCGGCTTGGGCAGTTGCAGGTCAGCTTGTTTCTTGGTTTGGCCAGGTCGGGTGGTCACTTGGGTCAGTTGGGTCGGCTGTTTTTCTTAGTTTGGTGGGTTGCTTGATCAATTGGATGGGGCTACCCTGGCCGCGGGTTTGCGAAAGAGCAGCCAGAAAGCCCCGCTGCTTTGACATGGGCCACAGTCCTTGAATCCCTAGCAGAATTCGGTTGACACAGACCGGTTACTTTTGAAAGGTAAACCGGAAGGCCCCGGAATTGCAGCACTGGACTTCAACCTGTTCACAAGACTCCGTTTGAGCATCCAACATGTAGCCATATTGTCGCACGGCCGTTTCAAACATAGGGCCAGCGATTCAAAGAAAGGTCTAGAAAGCAGTTCATCTCACTGCAGTTCATCATCTATATCTTCTGGGCCTGCGGCCTCTAGCCGGCTACGCCGCTTAGAAGTTTGCATCCTCAGCATCACCAGCATCACCAGCATTATCTGGACAACATTCCTTGAAAGATGGAGGGACGTTAAGCCAGCAAGGCCCCAAGCGAGTCCAAGCACATGGGTTCGCGCGCGCGCACGCGCCAGAGGCCCCAGAACGACCAGCCGAAAAAGCGGAGCTCGCGAGCCAGCCCGAAAACGCAAACGCAACAAAACACTGTAAATAGCAGCGTTTTGTGGCCGGGTTTGCGCGCGCGCGCGCGCCACAAGGCCCAAAAAACAAGTGGGAAAAAACAAGGACCGCGCAGCACACGAGCCAGCGACAGCAGAAGCAAAACACACAGAACATCAGCCCAACGCGCAGCGCAGCAGTTTTTGACGGTATTTACGGCGTTTCGTAGGGCAAGGAACCAGCATCGCCGACGTTCCCGGCAGCTCTTGGCCCCAAAATGCGCGAAAATGAGCTTGCTTATATCCCTTCGGCGCCCTCTAAAAATCAGTGTTTCATGGGTTGCGACGCTTTGTGGGCGGAAATCTTGATGATGCAGACCAAGCCCCGCTGAAGCATCACCCAGGCCCAACCCGCAGACCCTGGTGATGCCAGTGATGCGGCCTAAACCCTGCATATACGCGATGTTTTGCGAGGGTTTCCCACAGGCAAGCAAAACCGCAAGCCCGAGCTGGTGATGCAGGAGGTGCCGGATTTAGGCCGCGCATCACGACCACAGGGGTGCACCCCCATAGCTGAAGCTCTAGGCAGATTGCCTAGCGGCGGCATGCTACTGGCGTAGCCGGATTAACCAGGCGTGCCGCCTGCTGCCGCCGACCCTCAAGCGGCTCTTGAGGGTCGGTAATAAAGCGGCATGTCCCAGGACCGGTCCCAGGACAGGTCCCTGGTCCGAGGACAGGTCCCAGGACAGGTCCTAGGACTGGTCCCAGGACTGGTCCCAGGACTGGTTTGAGGACTGGTCCGGGACTGGTCCCAGGACTGGGACCAGTCCTGACTGGTCCTAGGACAGGTCCCAGGACAGGTCCCAGGACTGGTCCGGGACTGGTCCCGGGACTGGTCCCAGGACTGGTCCCGGGACAGGTCCCAGGACTGGTCCCAGGACTAGTCCGGGACAGGTCCCAGGACTGGACTGGTCCCGGGACTGGTCCCAGGACTCGTCCCGGGACTAGTCCTGGGACCAGTCCCGGGACCAGCACCAAAATCCGAAAAACGAGGATCCCCCGAGACAAACAAGTTTGGCTAAGAACAAGCTTTCAAGCCTTCATCTTGCATACCACGCCGAGCCCTCTGGCATTCGATAGGCTTAGCTTTGGCCAGAGGGTCGGCGGATTTGAAAGAAGAGCCTGAAGAACCTGTTTAGTCATGTTTAAACAAGGAGTTGGCCCATGGTTTAAAAGGAACACGCGTGGAACCCAGCCCCCTTTCCAGCTTTCCAACGGCGGCCTGTTTTGCACAGGGCCTGCTGCCTAGCCCGCGTGGCGCTGAGGCGCGTCGATTTTTGTGACGCGTTTGGGGCGGGTTGGGTCCGTGTCGAAGCGAGCTTGCTGGTTTTTAGTCCGTGTCGAAACGAACACCCTAGGGTTCCCAAGGCCCCCATTAAAAGTGGCAAGGACCCAAATTGGATGACAACCCTTAGGTAAATAATGGTGGTTATATGAACCCCCATTGTTTTAATGGTGGTTGAACCCCAGGGAACATGGCACCCAAAAAGGATGCCCCAGAAAAAGAAGAATCCTTTAAAGACCGTGGTTCCTTAGGGGATTTGGGAATGACCCTGTATCACTGGGTTGTGGTAGGGAATTTAGAACAAGCTTTGGCAAGCCGGGAAGGTTAGCTTCAAGTCGGGGGCGGAGAAAAGTGATGGAATTGACCCATCGTCCGATCCTCCGGGGTTTGCTGCTACTTGGATCCGTCTAGTTTGGTCTCACCAGCCGTTCATTCACCTAATTGCACGGGTGTTTCTGAAATGGTGCACCCCCTTTTGGTTCGCAGTTAAAGCGAAAGGAAAGGAAACCAGCCGCTTTGGGGGACCACTAAACAGGTGTGTATTTGTTTGAGGGTACCCGTTTAGGGGTTGGATCAAAGGGAAACCTGGTGTCCCCGAACTGACACCACCTATCAACCACCTGGAGGGGACCGATGCCTATTTTGAGCATGCTCGTTTCCATGTTCCTACCCCATAGTAGAACCAAAAACCCAGTGCTTGATTTCCCAGTGGGAAACCAATTTCTGGGTTTTTGCGTCGACCTTGGGGTAGTCCAAAGAAATGAAACCCTGCCACCTGATGCACCCCGGACCTCAGGTGATGCTCGGGCCCCGCTTGCCTCCAGAAGACGAGTTCCCCGAGGCGCGGAGACGCGCCGTGCGGACGACCTCCAGTGGGTTGTTCCCTTTTCCCTTCGTTTGCCGGGGTGCCAACGTGTTTTGCTTTCCCTTCGGCGCCTTTTGCCCTTCAAAGCCACCAAAAGGGGCCCTGATTTCCTTTAAGGAAGGTTTCGTTCAACAGCGGCAACCAACAGAAAGGGATCCCCATGGCTACGGCCTGGTTCCTGGTTTTGGAGTCGATCCCATTAAAAGTCACGGTACCAATGAGCCCAGGCTTTGGACAACCCACAGAACGGAGCCTTGGACAGAGACCCGGGTTTCAGCCCCTTTTCCCCATGGACATCCACGATGTCAAGTGACCTTGGGTTGCCAATTCCAAGTGCTTAAAGAAACAACAAAACCGTGGTGTGAATTCTGGCTTCGCGACTTGTTCTCATGCTTCATGAGCCGAAAACCCTCTTTTTTCCAAGGGTACAATGGCTAGAGGGCCAAGGGCGCAGATTCCTGGAGGTTGCTGCAGTTCGCACACCTTGGCGTCCAAGCAAACAACGGCGGGGAATCGGTGCCAGTAAAAGTCAAAGCGAAAGAATTGAAGCTGGTTTGCTTTCCTCTTTGTGCCCCGTAACTGCCAATTCCTCTTGTGCCAGCGTTTCGAAGCAACCATTCAACCACTTCCCCATTCCAAACTGGATCAGTTGGCCACTGAAGCTTGCATTCTACCTGGACAGTGGAACAGTGGAAGCCTTCGAAACGGAAAATGACCGCAGGCGGATTGCGCTGCTTGCGCCCGCGACGCTGCCGAGTACCTGCCCAGCGAGGAGGCGGATGGGCCCCCGTCCAGGGAACGGGCTCGACTGGCGAAAAAAGGGGCGTGTCCCAAAATAGCAGTTCCGGACCACCCAGAATGGATTTCGGTGTTCCTTTCGGTTTTCCCTTTAACCTAATACGAAAAGGGCACCCTCGAAAAAACACACATTTGATGGTGGTTTCTAGCGGATACACAATGGTAGGTTGCGAGGTCCCTTTGACGGACTCGAATAGCGAAAGTGGCTAGCCGAATAGCCAACTCACTTGAAACAAGCTGCAAAGGGGGGTGATGATTTTCCCAGACCCCAATCAGAACCCAGGGACAGAAGACTTCAGAACGTGGGCAAGGGCAAACTGGCAGAACCACAGGTGGATTGTGCCGCCTGCGCGCGCGACGCTGCCGACTACCTGCCCAGCCCCACAGAGGAGGCGGATGCCGGTTGTCGACCGACCTTCAACCACCTGCAGGTATCGTTGTATGTCCCAAACAGTCAAGCATCGCCGTTTTGGGCAGTTTTTTGATCGAGCGGTGTTCATTGACTGGTTGATTATCTCTTAGGGTTGGGTTTCAATGATGTTTCTCTTTTGTGATGTATTTTCGGGTTATATATAAGGAGCCCTGCCAAGACCCTGCATGAGTCCCAGGGACTTCATTGCGGGGTTCTTGGGAAGTGCTTTCGGGCCCTGCCTGGCAACGGCTGCTTTTTGGCTGGCCAAAGAGAAAATCGGCCGATCGTGTTGCTGCCAAAAGATTTGGCTTCTCTTTTTCAGGCCCCCTGGAACAGAAGACATCCTGCCCCGAGTTCTGAGTTTTAGCCGGGTTTCCTCTCGGGACCTTGGAGACAGGTTGCTACGCCCAAGCTTGCTGATTTCCGTTGGTTTCCTGAAAGTTCTTGCATCGTTTTGTGGCCGGGGAGCTTGCACACCCTTCCCTCCACGCGGTTGCTCCAAGCCAGTGAAAGTCTTAGACACAGGGATAGGCGCCTTCTAGATTCTAAACGGGAAATGGGTCAAGGGCAAACTGGCGGAACCGCAGGTGGATTGTGCCGCCTGCGCGCGCGACGCTGCCGACTACCTGCCCAGCCCCACAGAGGAGGCGGATGCTGGTTGTCGACAGACCTTCAACCACCCGCAGGTATCCTTCTATGTTCCTCTTTGGGTGGTTGAAACGGCAAGCATCACCGTGTTGGGCAGTTGTGTAATTCCGTGATTGGTGACCAATGATTGGTGGCTTAAGTATGACCTTGGCAATTGTTTCGCGTGGGGGCTTGATTGAGTTGCTACCTCTTTGGGCGGTTCCATTGAATTTATCTTTGCTTTCTTTCAGCCCCCCCCCCAGTGTTTCCGCTAGCCCAAAGAAGGCCAATGAGGCTGAAGCCCCGTCCATTGAGGGCTCTGCCCGGTTGCATCGGATCGAATGGTTGCTTGTTGCTTGGCCTCACAGCTTCCGCCAAAAGCTTCAGCCTGTTAGGCCCGCAGGTAAGAAGATCGTGCCCCAAGTTCCGGATTTCAGCAAGATCCTTATCCCATCGTGCGACGCCAGCTTTTTCGCGCACAGGACCAACGTGTTGGATCAACCACTAGGGCTAGGCTTATGAGGTGGGTCCGACTGGATCAATCATACACGGAGACCCCGTCTTTTGCTTTGCCAACTGCTACCAGCGACCCTTGTTTGCTCTTGGCCACAGAAGGTTTGAGGGATGCTTATTTAAGTGCTTGTAGCTTCACGCGCGTTCATGAGGAATGCATGCCATTGACTTACCCATGCCACACCAACGTCTACAGTAGTAAAAGACAAAGCACACAAACCAGTGTAACTTTGGTAAACAAACTAGGCCTATCCACAGCATTGCGCAGCTGTTTTTGTGAAGTCTGCGCAGGCTGTGGGAGGAATTGGTTTCTGAGCGTTGTTTTGTTTCCTTCGTGTAGGTGGGGGTTTCTCAAAATAGGGGACCCCTTTTTGGATGGGTTTAAAGGGAAACCAAAAGGAAACCACCCATTTTAGGGGACCCCTATTTTGAGAAACCCCCAGGTGCCTTTTGTTTAAACATCATGTCTAGTCGTGTGGGGAACCAACTGTTGGAAAACCACTGGTTCTAAGAGGCGACCACTATATAATAACTCAGCAACGTACCTTCGTGTTGCACGCCGCGGCGCAAATGGGAACCAACCCGCCCTTTGGCCCTCCATGAAGCCTTTGGCCAAACCCTTGGGGTTTTTGAAGCTTTGTGATACGGGTCTGTCTTTTTTTAGGGCAACCCCTTTTTGGTGGGTTTTAAAGGGAAACCAAAAGGAAAACCACAATTTTGGTGGGTCCCCCAAAAAAAGACACACCCATACTGCGGATGGAAAAGCGAACACCATTTTTTCGCACCACGAAATGAGTCGCCATGGGAATGAAACCATCACGTGCGTTGGCATTTACAGGGGGAATCGAATCAGAAACCAGGGTTTCTGAACGGTGGTGCGAAATGGATTTCGCTTTTCCGTCCACAGTCTGTGTGAAGGCCTTCCAGTGTGAAATTCCCACTGAACTTGCTGCCTCCAAAACCCAGGGGGTGCCAGGGGGTCACATTTTGACCCCATAAAAGGGTTCTGCGTTTTTGAGTCGGAACCAACCGCATGGTTCTTTGGGGCCCAGACCTCCAGTGCTCGGTTCGTTTGCTCAGTTGTTCAGTGGCACCCTGTTTCTCTTTTCCCTTTTTTTTTGGGGGTGGCCAAGCCCCACTAAACATGGGAGCTTCCCCAAAAAGGGAAAGCCAGTTCTTTTTTTCCAGGGTCACTGGTTACAACTGAGGTTTTCCATGACCCCGAGACAAACACCATGCCCGTTCTGGTTTCCTTTGTTCGGGAATCCAAGCTAAACCGGTTCATTCCACCAAAACCCGGGCTTGGTCATTCCCTAGCTATCGCACCGATCGCAAGTCATGTTGGTTTCACGGGTGTCCCTCTCACCAAGGCAACCAAAGCCAATCGACCGGAGCAAAGACCTTTTGGTGTTCATGTTGGGTTCCCATTTTTAGAGGTGCCAAAAGGCGATCACCTTTTATGCCCAGGTCCCCTTTGGGGGCAACTGCCATCCGGTTCCTTAGGTTTTTAGATCTTTTTTGGTTTAGTGGTTGGGTTTCCGAATTTAACCCACAAGTGTTCGACTTCTAGCAGGGGATCTGAAAACGGACAGCCCAGAGTCAACTACCAAGAAAAAAGTGGCGTGTTTTCCCTGTGGCCACTGGGGGTTTCGGAAGCGAGGCCCTTGAAGGAGGGCTTTCCTGTGCACCGGGCATGGCTCAAAGGCCCTGTTTGGGGGTGGTTCTGAGGTATGGAGGTTAGAAAAACCACTTCTATTTATGGGGCACATACTGCCTAACTACAAGCTGAAATATTGGTGGTTTTTTCTGCGCATCCCTCTCCCAAACCAAAACCCCGCTCCCTGAAAAAAACAACTTGATACTACCTTGTTTCCTTAGGTTTTGGTCGCAAGGCCTGTATAAACCTTCATAGCCATGCTAGTAGAACCAAAAGTCAATGGGTGTTGGTCGCTGCTAAATATTCAGTGCAACGAATGGTTTCTTGGGGACCCGGGCAGTCCCCATGTAAATGATGTCCAACAAAGAATCACTTCAGATTCGCACCCTAGCAACAATATCCTGGCCTCCCAGTGTGCTTTTCAAGCATCAAAACCCTCTCTCTACCGAGCCTTTGGTGTCCGTGGGTGGTAGGGTTGAATGTTTCGTTTGAGGCTCATAGCTGTGGATGGAAAAGCGAAAACCATTTTTTCGCACCACGAAATGAGTCGCCATGGGAATGAAACCATAACGTTGGTTGGTATTTACAGGGGGAATCATCAGAAACCAGGGTTTCTTAGGTGGTGCATGATTTCGTCCATCCACTGTACCATTCATAATTTGCAAAGGTTTGACTGCATGGTCCAGCAGAAAAGCCAATCACATTGCCCCCAAATCTGCCTGGGCTCCGAATACATGTCCCTTCATGGTGGTGCGAGCGTCACCTTTGGAAAGGCCATTCAAATGATGTTCCTTTTCGTTGTTTGTGATTTGTTTAAGTCAACAATTATGGACCCCTTTGAGCCCATAGGCATGGTAAATTGCCTACGTGTGTACTCCACTTGGCATGAGGTTCTTGAGGCCCACTTGGTAGGGGTGTAGGGTTGTTGCATGAATGTACATCTTTGACAGGTTGCTGAATGGCAAACGCCATTTGGCTCAAGCGCATCGAAAAAGGGTGCGCCTGAAAGCGGATCACTGAGTTTGTAAACCACCCCCTGAACTGCGAAGGGATTAAACAATTAATCCACCACTTCTTGTTCGGGGCGCCGCCTCTGGCGCGCGTTTGGGGTTTCTTGCTCTTTTGAGTGGTTATCAGCCGTATAGCCATTCTTTTCGGGATTAATTAGGCCCTCCCTTCGCAGTTCCCCCTTAAAGGGGGCGCGCATGGCAGTGCCTGAGGATTACCACGTGCGTGGTACAAGGGGCGGCGCGAACAACAAGCGCAAGGTGTGGCACGACCTGCAGGAGTCGGTCATCGAGGCGGTGCACCATCGCTTTGGTTTTGACCCGCCTAAGCTTGATTGGAGATCTGACTTGGAGATCCAACTGCAGGCCCTGCGTCGTTGGAATCGTGACGCATCTGAGCATCGGTGGGAGGAGCTGCACTATTGGCACCAGCCTACTGCACTGCGGATCAGGAACATCCTTGAGCAAGAACAGAGGGCCGCAGCCTCCGGCGCGGCAGTGCCTACATCCGCGATTGCAGCAGCACAAGCTGCTGCCGGCGCTGACTCATCAGCAGCACCAGCGGCACCTGGAACGCCGACATCCCCGGCTCCGACCACACCGCGCTCCCCATCCCCGCAGCAGCAATCGCAGCCCTCGGCGCGGTCTCCCTCGCCCCAGCAGGTCTTGTCACCGGCTGAGGCTTGGTTGGCCGCTCCGCAGGAAGCTGAGCCGGACGCAGGGACCGCAGCCGTTGGCGCGGTAGCTGACCAAGTGCCAGGTTCAAGGCATTCCTCACCCCGAGGAACACCATCGGCTTCGCCAAGGTCGGTGTCGAGGCAAGTGCTACGAGCAGCATACACTCAGGCGCGCATCGTCCTGAGATCCCGCTCACGCACACCGACACCGTCGTGCGAGGCCGCAGCCCCTGGCGCGGCGATCGGGAGAAGCAGGCGGGAGCCATCCGGTGAACGCCCTGCTTATCACCGGTCGGTCAGAAGGTCCCAGCGCACCAGATCCAGAAGCCCACCGGTGAGGACCTCGCCAACTGACAGGCCTGTGATTTTGGCTCCACGGACATCCGCGTTCCCTACCGTGCGCAGTACAGTGACCCGCACGAGTTGCCAAGTGACGTGTGGGTACATCCGGAGGCCTACGGATCCAGATCGCGGACTCCATCTCCCAATTACGGAGACGCTGAGGTCTTTCGCCTGGACGACGCCTGGTCGGACGACGAGAGTCCGCAGAACAGGCAGAATCTGGTTTCCGGCAAAGCTGCATTAAGGTGACACATACGAAGCACCGGTTTACGTGCCTCAGTGGACTCCTGCACTACCTGGAGCCTCCTCGTCATTGTGAAAAGCATACCGCAGCCCAAGGCGCGGGGCACAGTGGCGGCATTCCTTGCCCTCAACCGCGGACGAGCTTTGAGCAGGGCGAGGTCTTCCTCGCCGAAGCGCACAACCTCGCCTCCGCCAACGAGGAAAGCATCTGTGCCCGCGAACAACAGGTTCACTGGCCACCTCCGGGTAAAGCAGCCCCCGGCGACGCTCAGATCGACTGCAGAGGGCGCGGGAGCAGCCTTTGGCGCTCCGCCCCTACCACCGAGGAGGAATCCACCACCACCTCCTCCTCCACCTCAACGGTTGGAGCACAACATCCCCGAGCCGCCGATCCGTGCACCACTTGCAAACCGTCAGGTGCTGACTGTGGTACTAGATTGGCACGGAGTTTTAGACGTTTGCATTCGGTCAGGGGGCCGCATACAGCCGCAGATCATCGACGGTTTAGTGCGCATTCAAACAGCACACGGGCCAATCAATTGGGTGATCGTTTCGTACTGCGGCGTTGATCGAGAGCGCAC